CAGTGAAGTGTGTGGACCAGAATCAGCCCTTCCTAGACTGAATTAGACTAACTAGACTGCAAACGTACTATATAACCATGGACGGGGTAGCCTGGGTGTATTTCTGAAAAGAAATTTGGGGATTAAGTCTCTGTGAAGGTTAGCTCCGATTTTAGCCTTCTCTGGAATTAGGAAGTTAATTCTACGCTGTTGCTAGCCTGTGAGGGCTCCCTACGGGAACAGGGCAACGCTAAAAGCCAGGAATGCAGACAGCTCGTGGTCAGCGTAAGGCCCTAACCTGTCCTGCCTTGCTGCACTATCTGAATCCCCACCACACACGACACTGACTCAACCTCACCCTCTTTCAAGTCCAGGAGAAAGACTCATTTTGGTGCGGTACAACTATGTCCCTCCCCACACACTTGGAAATCACTTCTGAATGAAGAGAAAGCAGGTCTCAGGCTGAAATTCTAGTTTTGCAAACACTGAACTGATAAGTGTGCATATTACCCTGCCCTCCCCCTTCCCCCAATGAATGTAGGACCACAAACTGAAGGCAACAAAACCAGGGCCAGATAGAGATGGGAGGCAGCCCACTGGGCTCACCTACTAGCTCCATGATTCTCCCCTGCCTGTCCTGCCTCCCAGACCACCCAATTGAGATACACACCTAAGCAATATGACAAGTTGCTGAAAGTCCATCTGCAGCATGAGAGGGTGATTATGATGTAGTATGAGGAGAAATTCTTTTGAGGTAGGATCCATGGATGTGGTTAGAAAGAGAAGAAGGCTTAAGAAGGGGGGTTCTTTGACAATAAAAAACGGGAAAACAATTCAGATGTGTTCATTCACTCAGAACATTTTACAAGGTTTCTGCTTCAAACAGAGCTAAAGTAAAAATTAACGTAGAGATGAATGAGACTCAAAGAGATTATACTCTGCTTCTATGGTCTGTTCCCAGGTTCTGTGATTTTGTGAGTTCATGTTGAGGCTGCTAAGTGAGGAGCAGCTGTCTCATGCTCTACCAGCTTGTGACTTGCTGGATGCTTTTCTATTACTGAATCTGCAGAGACAGGTGGCCTGAACAGGAGATATGGAATCCTAGATTTGAATCCTTATTTTACCTCCCACTTGCTTTGTGTCCCAAGGCTGCTCACTATCCCCCTTTGAACAGCTTCCATTTTCTTCTCTTTGTAAAATGTACAAGTTGAAATAAATGCTTTCTGAGATCCATCCCAGCACATTTCAAGTCTATCCCCTGGCTGGCAATAGGGGCTCATGATGAGGGGTGGGCAGGACAACATTCGGGTTAGGGTTTTCCTTGTCCACTACTTCTGAGCCCTGGCTTGGAGGTCTCTGGGAGATGGTGTCCCTTGGGGGATAGGCTGATGCTGTGAGCAGCTGTAACTGAACCCACCTCTGATCCTCCAGGTGCACCCTTTGCTCCCGGGCACATCTACCATCATGATCCATGACTTGTGCCTTGCCTTCCCAGCCCCGGCAAAGGCTGATGTTCATGTCTCAGACATTCAGGAGCTGTATGTCCGCGTGGTAGACAAGGTCAGTTTCATCTTCCTGTTGTGTCTCCCTCTCTGCTGATTCACAGAAACTAGGAAAATGTCACGTCTGCGGGAGATATTTTTCTCCTGTTCACAGATTTTTCTCTTGGTTTCTGTGTCCCTCAACTCTCCTTCTGAGTTGCTGTGAGCTTGCAGTGCTGTCTTTCATCTCCGCTGTTTTGTGTACATGATGCAGAATAACCTCTGAGGTTGTCCTTCAGCCCAGTTGACATCAATAAAGTTTGGCTATAAATCCTTCTTGGAGTTATCTCCTCATCAGCTCTGACTTGGTAATTTCTATCTCTAGCTGGTGTTGGTTAGTAACCAGTCAGGCACACACCTTGCTGAACATGAGTTTTTCTCCCCACTGTGCAGGTTTTGGATTCTTGGGAATTTCTATGACGAATGAAACTTACTAAGGCCATGTGCTATTGTAGAATGAATACTTCATAGATCTAGGCTTTCTTTTTTGTGTAAACAGAAAATTTTTATTACTACAAATACCTGGAGTAACTGCAGCTAGGCTTACAAATGATTGCTGTCAGTTCCTATTTTCCTAAGTGGAGAGAACAGTTAATAAAAGGGGAATGTTTGAGCAGCTTAGACTACTTAAAAAGTCAATATTTTGTTACACAGTATTTGATATTCCTCCTATGGTCTCATTTCCACTGGTAATTTGTTGACTAGACTTATTTCTTCACTAAGCATTTTTGACTTCCATTTCCTAAGGCTTTTACTGTATGTTATATGCTGCCAGGTGTGAGCTATTCTGTCACGGTGTGCTTACTGAACTCCTACAGTATACCTGCTGCTGTTCTAAACTGTGGCTCATCTCTCTAACTAGATTGTTCTTTAAGAATGGGGAGGGTAATTTGTACATCTAAGTATCCCCAAGTTCTCTTGTATAAAGCAAGTACTCAATTGATTTCATTTGTTGATTGGCTGATTGTCTGGAGGTTAATCTGGGTGACTTGTTCTCAATTCCCAGTGTGGGTTTGAGGTTGGTGACACCCTCTCAGAAAGTCTTAGGGTGCCATGTGTGGAATTGTTCATTTGGAGGCACCCCTGAGTGTCTGTTCCCCGTGACGTAGGTGGAGATTGGGAAGACAGTCAAGGCATATGTCCGCGTACTGGACTTTCACAAGAAGCCTTTCCTGGCCAAATACTTTGCCTTCATGGACCTGAACCTCCGAGCAGCCTCCCAGATCGTCACATTGGTGTGAGTCCCCCAGGGATCTGAATAGGGCATCTCAGGGACAGTACTGATAGGTCTGCCTGGGGGGGAGAAGTTCCAGCCCTTCCCTCTGTTCCAGCTACCTCAACGAGGCCCTTGACAACTACACTGCTACTTTCCGTGTCAATGGTGTGGCCATTGGCCAGACCAGTCTTACTGCAACTGTGACTGATAAAGCTGGACAAAGAATCAACTCGGCCCCACAACAGATTGAGGTAAAGCTGTTATTCTTCACACCAAATGGAATCAGCCCAGCCCCTATTGCATGCACAGAGGAGTATGATAGGCTGGAAATTCCAAGGACAGTCCAGGAAGCCATTGCGGAGAGGATCTGAGGGGATCTGAGGAGCAGCCCCAGTGGGAGGTTGCTGAGTTATTTTAATCTCTCTCTAGGACATAAGGGGCATAATGTGGCTCAGAGAAGGAGAGTGACCTGTTACGGCTGGGGAGTGGCAGGATATTTAAACCATTGAACTGCCAGAAAGCAGTGGCTGGGCAGAAGCTGCAGGCAGATCTGGGCTTGTTTGTGGAAGCTTTTCTTGACTGTCGATCTGAACATTAGAACAGGCCCTTAGAAGTAGTGAGCTTTCACATTGGGAGCACCTATACCAAGCAATTCCTGGATGAAAGAGCTTTGAGGTCCCTCAGCATCATCTCAGTATGTGACTTGGGGCTGTCTTATGGCATTAAGTTTTAACCATAGCCTCATAGTCACCAGGAGCCAAGGCAGCCATGGCCAAGAAGTCATGTCCAAGTTTATCCTTCAGCAGCCTCACTAAAGTATTTGGCTCCTGCCTGCATCCTCCAAGGGTCTCGTCCACATAGGGGATGGCAGGCTTTATATTAATTAATCTGTGTTCTGAAGCCAGTGGACACAGATTGTGCTACTACATGGAAGTGCACCGTCCTCCTGATGAAGAGGAATTCATTTCTGCCTATAAATAGTACAGCCCTACAAAGACTAATCCTCACACACAAAGCAGCCCCTTGACTGACTAGTGTGTTCATTCATCCTCAAGCTCTCCTCATGCTCCTGCCAGGTAGGGATGGGGGGATGCAGGAACAGGATGTGGGAGCTCTGCCCTGCTGCAAAGATAGCATCCTCATCCCTTTCCCCAGGGTGCCATTTTCCTTATCTGAAAAGTTTTGAAGGCATTGAAGAAGAGAACTTCTAAGGCAATTTGTTGATAGAAATTTGGAGAAATTTAGTGAAAAAGGCAACTTTCCAAAGATGAATTGAGGAAATCTTGAAGGCATTGAGTTGGAAACTTTGACACCCATCAGAATTTCCTGGAGGACTTGTTAAGATACAGATCACAGGATCCCACCTCTGCATCTGCAGGTCTGGAGTGGGTTGGAGAATGTGCATTTCTCATGGTTCCCAGGTGACAGTCACAAACAGCAGAGCACATCTCACCCAACCACAGATTCTTGGGTCCCTGGATAGGATGAGATTGTGTGGGGGCCACTAGGGCTCCCCCAGAGTTGGCACAGAACCCCAGGCTCTCACTGGCACCTCTTCACAGAGGAGCGATATCCATGCACTGTGTTTCCCTCTCCCTGAAAATGTTACCTGTGAATTAAGCCTAGCAGCATGAACTTGGAATGCAGTGGTCCCTTTCTCTCTTTGTCTCCACATATAGGTCTTTCCCCCATTTAGGCTGATACCCAGAAAGGTGACGCTGATTATCGGGGCCATGATGCAGGTAAGAGCCAAAAACCACATCCTTGTTCCACCCCCACTTGCAGCCAGGCACCAGCAAGATGGTAGCCGCCCAACCTGCCCAACCTGCCCTGGCTCCAGACATGCCCACCTACCTTGGGTGTCAAATGTGCTAAGATGGAATTCTCTGGGGGTATTGGTGCCCTCATCCTCTGAGGATGAAGCATGGGCTGGCTGGGAGGATAGGGGCTGACAGGAACTTCTGTTTCTCCCTACTCCAGATCACCTCTGAGGGTGGGCCCCAGCCTCAGTCCAACATCCTCTTCTCCATCAGCAATGAAAGTGTTGCAGTGGTGAGCGGTGCTGGGCTTGTGCGGGGACTCACCGTTGGTAACAGCAGTGTGTCGGGGGTTGTGCAGGCCGTGGATGCTGAGACTGGCAAGCTCATCATCGTGTCTCAGGTAACAGGCCTGGGATCCATCAGAGATGGGTGCTTTCTGAATTCACCCAGGACGTGTGGCCCTCCAATGATGGTGCACTGGTCCTCCTGGCAGCTGCTAGGGTGGTCAGCTGTGAAGGGGAAGAAGCCCTGTTTATTGAGTTTGCCTTCTATTCTCGAGGACTACCCCTCTCTGAGGGTCTTGCTTCTGCCCGCTGAATCTGCAGCACCTGACTGTCCCTACTACCTAGGGCCAGCCTTGCCAGCTTGGGGACACCTAGACCTCCAAGGCTGCGCTCCAGACTGAATCGCCTCAGCTGCTCCTTAAGAGACAGCATCTCCAACCCCCTGTTCTAGGGACATTCCAGTGCATGGTGATGGTAGTGGTTGTGATAGCAGACTCTGCACAGACTGTTTTACATTCCCCTCATTTAGTCCTCTCTTGTGCATTTTGCAGCTATCCCCATTTGCAGGTGAGGGGCCTAGGGAACAGCTAATGGCCCACAGCTACTAAAATGTAGTTTGAGGACCTGATCTGGGACTGCCAACAGCTGAGCTCTTGCTCCTTTTGTTTGTTCATTTCAAACAGAGCTGGGGAAGTTTTGAGAGAAGAGAAGGGGTTGCTGTTGACTCTGATACACTTTGTGTATTACAGTGCGAGTTTTCAGAGGCATGCGCTGGCTTGGCTGCTATAAGTGTAGATAATTGGACACTGATATTTTAGGCCTGGATTTGTATTTCTGGGAGAAACAGAAAATGTGGATCGTCCACTAGTATCTTTTGTTCCACTAGAAGTTATCTCTCAAGCCTCTTTGCCAGAGTGGGGAACATTTCCTGATTGCTTTTCTGGGTTAACATTGATGCTAGAAGGCTGAGTTAGGGGAGTCTTCTCCTTAGGCGAGGCCCCCTGTTCCGCATCGGTGGGACTGAATCCAAGCATGTGAAAATTGGTTTTCCCGAATCTTATAGTTTCCCTTCATTCCAGAATGTGGGCACCTTTTTGGGCCTCTGGAAAGGAGGTGAGAGATCATTTCCACCTCCTGAGAAGGGCTCAGGGCTCTTGGACCGTCTCTGGTACCTTGGCTTGCCGTAACCTGCAGAAGCATCTCAGAAGGCTGCGTCGTGGTCATGCCTATGCTGGAAATCTGGGCTTAAAGGCATTTCCTTTTGTGTAACATGACGGTGGACAAGAACCTTTTCAGAGCTCAGTCATCCTATTCCTCATCCAGAATTGGGACCCTGGAAGAAGACAGAATGCCTGGGAAGCTGGTGCATGTGCCGTCTTGAAGAGGAGAGGCTGAAGTGTCTTCCTTCCCTGAGGCTGACTTTGATCCTACATTCAGTTCATTGATTTACTCATTTTTCCAGCAGTTTCAGTCTCTCCAAGTATACCAGTTAAACCACAAAGTCCTTCTGAATCATGAAGGTGGACAGCCTGATTCCGCATATTGATTTTATAAAGATAAGGAAGCCTGGGAATGTAAAATTCTATCTTATGGCATATAGCAGGCTTTAGATAGATGTCCTGGAGAATAAAGTAAGGATCAAGGAGGCTCTGCCTTTTTTTCCCTCTATGAACAAAGTATTGTGGCCTCAGGAACTGGCTCATTTTTTGTCTCCTGGGGACCTACCTAGGCTGAAATGGCAGCTGACTGGAAATCCAGCCAGAGGGGCCATCTTTGTGGTCTAACCTTGCTGTCAATTCTTCTCTGTGTCTACCATCTGGTAGGTTAGGGGAAGTGCTAGGAGAAGGCCTTGGTTCCCTTTGGCAGATGAACAACCTGTGCTACCAGCTCTATCTGAAAGGCATCTCCTTGAGCCTGGGCAGGTGGGAGTTTAGCCTGAGACCAAGGTCGAGGGATGGGCCAGGGCGTGCATGAGGTGACCAAACAATGGGAAGGATGAAAAGAAGGAGATGAATGCTTATTGAGCATTTACTCTGTGTTAGAGATGTTAGTCCAGATCATAAGACATGGGAGATGAGCTCAGCGTGAGCACATGTAAAAAGGGCTTAAGGGTTTAATTAGCCTATGTTCCACATGAATCAACAGTACTGTGAAGAAGCCAATAAAGTTAGTCTTTGGCCAGGTTAATAGGAGTATAGAGTTCCGAATGAAGGAGGATATAAAGTCTTCTGAGATTTACCTGACTCTTGATTCATCCATGTACTCTTCTTAGAGAGATCAACAGGCTAGATTTGGGGTTAGGAGGGTCTGGAGACCTATCCCTGTGAGGTCTTCCCAGCCTAGAAAAGAACAGTTCTCAGACACACTGTCCCCAAGTCTCTGCAGTACTGACCTGGAGCAACTGGATCAGACAGGTCTGTAGGATCAGAGAGCCACGTTGGAACCCACAGGGAGATGAGGGAGGCAGTGGCAATGTCTTTGTGAGATGAGCCACCTATAAGTCCAAGTTACTTCAGGAAGAGAAGCATTGAGATAGACACCCTTTGGATGCCTTTTAGCCTTGTGACTGAGCTTGCCTCAGCTGGAACTTCCTTTTTTGGAGGGGTCCATTCCTAAAACACCCATTGCTAGCGCATACCCCTACTCCCAGCCAGCCTTAGCCCCAAAACCCTTTTCCTAGGATCTCGTGGAGGTGGAGGTGCTGCTTCTCCAGGCAGTGAGGATCCGTGCCCCCATCACTCGGATGAGAACAGGGACCCAGGTGAGACGGGACCCTCTCAAGACCCGCTTGTCTCTGCTGTCTGAGCAGCCTCTTGACAGGTTTTGGGCTCTGAGTTCTGGTTCAGGATGAGCTTGGGGGAGCCACTGCTATGACACTGTTTCTTCTGTTGGAGCACTTCTCCATTCCCCCTTTATCTGCTTAACTCATGTTTATCTACAGGGTTCAGCTCCACTTCCCAAAAGGAGCCTTTCCTGCATTCTCTGCTCCAGACCACACAGACACTCATGGCTACTCTCTTTCACAGCACAAAGCTCCTTTTACGCATGGCATTTATCCCCTTCCAGTTCTGTGTAGGTGCAGTTACTGAGTAATACCTGTGTCTCCACTAGTCTGTCACCTTCTCACCCCTAGAATGGCACCTGGTACGTACCAGGAGCTTACAATTGTATAGAGCATACTCTATTAAGTGCTTTCTACGTACTAATTCATTTGGTGTTTATTACAACCCCTTGAGGTAACTACTAGTGTCATCTGCATATTGCAGATGAGGAAATGAACACATAGAAAGCTTAAGGCTCTGCCCAAGGTCACACAGCTAGAAAGTGATGGAGCTGGGAACTGGCTCAGAGTCTGTTCTTACCTTTTGCTGCATGGCCTTCATGTGTGCCCTGCAGTAGACACTCAGTAAATATAGATTGGAGGAAACTGTGATCCCACCCATGCCCGACCATGTAAGCAGGGCCCCCTGCTAGATTGAGAAAGAGGAGTACAGGCAGGGACTTTGGACAGGGCACACTATGCTCTTGGGGGCTGCAGGCATCCTAGAGCTCTAGGGGGTCATTCAGGAATGGAATCTCTTAGATAAGGTGAGACACAGCCCATGGCCCAAGAAGGATGGGGTCGGGAGGAGGTAGTTCTGTCTCCTGCTTGATCATTTGCTATTTTTTCAGACCTTCCCAAACCTGTGCTGTGCCCTTCTCTGGTTAAGGCAGAATCGGCACAGTTCCTGTTGGCGCAAAGGCAACACAAAAGTCCCTGGGCAGTGGAGAGGCAGCTCGGGCTGTGCCCCAGGGCTTCCAGGGGCTTCCCAGCAGTGGGCCTCTGGTGGTCATGAGCCTAGTTTTTCCCCTGCAGATGCCCATTTACATCACTGGGATCACCAACAACCAGAACCCTTTCTCCTTTGGCAATGCTGTACCAGGCCTGACCTTCCACTGGTCGGTCACCAAGCGGGACATCCTGGACATCCGGGGACGGCACCATGAGGTAACTACCTAGAGCCCCCCTCCATCCCAGGCCAGCATCTTGGGTGGGGAGGGTCCTCCCCATGTCTCTGCACATGAAGTCTGCACGTTCACTCTGGGCCAGTCCTGGCCCCTTTCTGCTTTCTCTAGACTCACTGGGACCTCTCCCAAATGCTGCTGCCACTCTCTCTGTCCCCCAGTGCCCTTCCTCAACTCTCAGTCTTCATGTCTGGAAATATGGTTCCCTAGTGACCCTTCTCACAGAACCCTGGGACTGTCTGAAACCCTTTTCATTTTAAGCACATTCTTGCTAACCACTACAGAAGAGACTTTAGGTAACTTACTAACAGAAGGCAGCAAAAATAACAACCTCATAGGAAAGTCACAAAAATTCCAGAATGTCACAGGGTCTTGGTTGGGGTCCCTGGTCTGTAACTTCTACCCACTTTCTGAGACGACACCTGGCAAGCCTGGAGTTTTCTCCTCGTTTATCCCAGAAGCCAAATTCCCCTCCCGTAGCCCTCTGCAGGGGGACCTTGGCCCCTTCTCAGATCTCAGAGCAGGAAAGTGTTGGAGAAAACTTACTTAAACTTCTCTTTGTGTTAACTGGAGTCCATACATGGGGAGGGACTCACATACAGTTGCCCAGTGAGCCAGTGGGGAAAAGGGACTGGTCACCAGCCTTGGTGACTCCAGGCTGCCACCCTAGGTAGGTTTTGGGCATGCAGGACGGAGTGAGAGGTGGTTTGGGGCTATTCCTTCTTGCCTTGTCTTTGGAGAGTAAGGGGGAGGGAATAGGAAGGGGAGGGGGCCAGGCACAGGGACTGGATTTCCTAGAGGCTGCCTGAAGCTCATCTGGTATAGGGCAAATGCCTTCCCCAGCCCACCCTGTGGGGCCAGGGTGCTGTCCTCAGTGCTGGGGGACTTCTGCAGACTATTCCCATAGTACAGGGGAAGTGTGACTTATTCACAGATATTGCATAACAGAAGGGTTTTGCAGGGAAACATTGCCAAGCCTAGCATCCCTCTTGGTGATTCATAACCTCCTTTACACACCAAAGACTCTGAGAAGTTCTGCCATTAAAACCCTGACCCTGGTGGATTGACCCAACATTTTCCACATTTACCTGTGAACATGTAACTCAGCATGGGGTGTGCTGCACTCATGTTGGGGTGACTGCAGTCAGTATGCCTGGGGTTAGCAGGCCCTGGCCATGGCAGGGAGGCAGCAGCCTTTGAGAACAGGCAGGCAGCTCTCAGGAGTCTGGGCCTTCTGTCTGGCTTCTGCCTTTTGGGGGGTGCTGGGGCCCTGGGATTCTCCCTGAAAACATGTTTGGTATATGTCCCAGGCATCACTCCAGCTCCCATCGCAGTACAACTTTGCAATGACCGTGCATGGCCGGGTGAAAGGCCGGACTGGCCTGAGAGTGGTGGTCAAGGCTCTGGACCCCACAGCTGGACAGCTACATGGCCTTGCCAAAGAACTCTCCGATGAGATCCAAATCCAGGTAAAGGACTTTCAAACCGTACTTGAAAGGGAGAGTAAGTGCCAGCCCAGTGGCCTTCTCTTGGGCTATGTGGGCACACATCAGTCCTCCCACTGCCCCTGGGCAGGGGCTGCAGACTCTGCCCCTGAGGAGCTGAGGAGCTCTGTTTGCAGAGATCTGATATCAGGGGTGTATAAGACGCTGTGGGAGCCCAGACATGTGACTGACTGAGGGCTTCACAGAGGAGTGACATTTTAGGATGGGAAGAATTGGCCAGCAGGCCAGGCGGAGAGAATGGCATGTGCAAGGGTCTGAAGGTCTGAAATAGCTTGACATGTTCCCAAAATAGAAAATCATTCCGAACTTGGAGTCTGGGGTACTTTCATGGGAGCAAGAGGCTGAAAATGGTCTGAGCTGACATTAATGTAATTGTTCATATTTATTTCACAAACACTCATAGAGCACCTAACAGAGGCAGATGTGCTTTCTCCATTTCCCAGAGCCCGCATGAGTCCTGAGGGGCAGGAGCTGCAGGCACTGTTGCTTGACAATGAACCTGTGGCCCCACGGAGGAAGTGCCCCGTCCAGGTCCCAGGAAGTGGGCGGTGGGCCCTTTGGGCAGCCTGGGATACCGTGTGACCCATCAGTTGGTAGATGGAAATCAAGCCTCAGAGAGGGAGGTGGCCTGCTCACAGCCCCAAGAGGGCACACTATCTTTTTAGGACCCAGAGCCCAGCAGTCCTCCTCCAGGCCAGGGCTCAGCTCCCCACCCCTCCCATCTATCTCTCCAGCCTGCCCTCCCGCCTCCCCTGCCTCTCTGGGCCCCTGTGTCAAACTGAGGGATTGACAAGTTGTTCTAAAGAGCATTTTTAGTTTCAAAGGCCCCATTCTGCCAATCTGGGACTCAGTAACTTCTGGGTCTTACTAAATTGCAAAGAAAAACCGAAAGCAGCCCCTAACTATTATGGAAAAAGAAATGGGTTCAATCCCCCTCTTCAAGAAGAAATAAACAATTTATAACCTAGGCACAGCTTAAGGGGTGAAGAAGCAGATTCTTAAAGAAGAAAATGTCTGTTAGCCAGCCCCCTCACCTTTGCCTCATATGAACATTGTACACACAAAGACACATATATGTACACAGACACTGACACATGTAGAGGCACACACAGACACAGATGCATACATATACATGCACACATAGACACAGACATGCATGTATATGCACCCAAACATAAGTACACAGATACATAAATGCAAATACATGTTCTTGGTTAAAAATAAAATTAAGTTTTGGAACCTCTCGTAGAATTAAAGACAGGGCTTTGCAGCTTCCAAATTCTGTAAGCTAGGTTACTTAATGTCTCTGTGCCTTGGTTTCCTTAGCTGACAGAAGATGGGGTTTTGAGTATATCAGAAACTTAGAGAAACTGGATCCAGCCCACAAATTGTGTTTTATTTGGCTCACTCAGTGCTTCGAAACAATTCTTTCTGTTGCCAACATTTAAAAATAGGAAGATTTTGCATAGAGATCCAATATGCAGCTTGTACTGGAGATATGCATTTGCCACATGGCAAAATCAGCAGGAGATGAGAAGCAGCCTCCCCTTCAATGAGCTGTGCTCTGCAGTTTGCCGGAGGCCTCACCACTCCCTGTTGTCTCCCTGGCAGTGAGGCCTAGCATCGGTGCCATGGTGCTTGCATTAGTACTTTTCTTACAGCTAACAGGAAAATGATATATCTCTTGTACCTTCACCTCCATCTTAAGAGGGGCAACAAAGAATACAGGCTTAAGAAACATATTTGTATGTATATTTCCTGCACACTATATGTATCTGAGCTGAGTTAGTGAGACTGCTTTGCTCTGGATGCCACCTGCCTAGCAGGACTCATATCACATCAGAACCCCATGCAGCTACCAAAGGCTGTTTATTATTCTCCATTTAGGAAGCGCTGCCACTCACATTGTGTCATGTGAATACCACAGCTCTTTGAGACAAGCACGGCAAGGATCGTTAGTTTTAAACCCATTTTACAAACAAAAAATCTAGGCTTAAGTATCTGGTCAAACGTGATGCTGGAATGGAGGGGAGTCAGCCGGCTTCCTCTTGGAAAATCTCCTTCAATTCAGATGATTTTAAACACAGGCCCTTGAATCCAGATGGTCTAGTCAGCTCAGAAGCTAGTGAGTGGGGAGCTCAAAACTGCTTGGCATCAGATGCCCAGGATGCCAGCCCCAAAGGTCCTTAGAGAAGGAGACTTAGTAGAATGGTGGGTACATTAGAATTTGTGCAGAGAAGGGGTCTAGAGTTCCAGGTAAGTGCTGTGGGGCCCCACTGCTGTGGCTCCAGGAGCTATTCAGGATCTCAGGGCCCCTGGGGAGTGATAGGATCAGATTCAATCTGACATTACCAGGTTTATTATCTGCTGGCTCAAAGTCACCAACATACCCCAGCAGGCACTCCCGCTCTGCGGATCCAGCGAGAACCTGGAACGATAGAAGGAGTGACATAAGGACCAAGGGATGGGATGAACGTTGTTCTAAGATGGTCATGGTGAGGAGCAGGATGTCTTGCTGAGAGAAAGGAGACTAGATGGTGCTTTCTCCAAACCCAGTCCTGGCAGAGTTAGGGCCAAGCAAGACCCTGGGCCCCATAATTCTGTGTGCTGCCTTCCATGCACACATCCTGGCAAACAAGTTTCCTCCCTGGGAATTGAAGCAGAGGCTCGTGCTTTCTGGCCCTGTGAAGCACCTCCCAAAAGGGTACAGAGTGTCCACCCCCTTGCTTTTCCTCCTCACACCTCTGGCCTCTCTTAACGGTCAGCCCTTAAAGCACATCACCAGCTACCTGTCAGGTGTTTGCTTGCAGCAGTTTCTCTCGGCCTCTCTTGGCTCTTCCTGCTGCGAAAGGCAGATCCCT